TTTTTTTTTTTATCTTCCGAATTTGATTATTCATATAAACGTTAATGTGGTTATAGCCTGGTAGGATTGTAATTAAGTTTTTGGCGATACATATGTGATATGTTAAAAAAATGCACTATATACACTCATACTAACATACATTCATACATATATATACATTTTTTATGTACGTAATGCACAATGCATATTTTGTTAATTTTTATAAAACGTGGATAGTCGGAGAAAAAGAAAATCTGTTAGTGTTTTTTTGCATTTGCAAAACTTNTTTTTTTTTTTATCTTCCGAATTTGATTATTCATATAAACGTTAATGTGGTTATAGCCTGGTAGGATTGTAATTAAGTTTTTGGCGATACATATGTGATATGTTAAAAAAATGCACTATATACACTCATACTAACATACATTCATACATATATATACATTTTTTATGTACGTAATGCACAATGCATATTTTGTTAATTTTTATAAAACGTGGATAGTCGGAGAAAAAGAAAATCTGTTAGTGTTTTTTTGCATTTGCAAAACTTTATTAGACAAATAAAGTTGTATGAATTTTGAAACAAATCAAAATAAATTATAAATACAAAAATAAAAAAAAACAAAAGATTAATATTTTTATTTCTATAGAATAAACAAGCAACAAGCCTCATTGCGAGAGTCATGCCGAATGCAAGTCGTTTTTGGAGAGTCGAATCGTATCGAAAATTTCATGTCATTCAGCCTCATTGCGAGAGTCGTGCCGAATGCAAGTCGTTTTTCGAGAGTCGAATCGTATCGAAAATTTCATGTCATTGTCATTGAGTCATTCCGGTACGTAGAACCGGCTGTCGTGGAAAACCGCCACTGTGAGAGAACTAGCCATGGGTAATAGCGCAATTTTTATGGCACTAGCTCAATAATGCCGGCGCCACCTGTGGTGTCAGCGCAATAGCGCAGTGTACTGATTTGAACACCGTCATCGTCATACAGTGTCATACAAAATAAAATGGTGTCATGCCTATTACTTTTTTAATTTTAAGCGCTGAGCAACCCTTGTACCGCCAACCGAATTTGGCAGCTAGGAATGTAGTAAATGCCACGATATTTTCATCATTCTTGAGTAAAAGCTTTAAATTTGCCAAGATACACTCCGGCGTTCTCACCACTCAAAAGCAAAGACAAAGTACGAGTAATTTTTCAAAGGATTACGGCGAATTGTGTGTGTCTCGTGTATTAATAGCGCTAGCGCTTTTAAATATTAGTGTTGGCGCGACAATTCCGGATACGGTGTTAACCGCGCAGCGCAGTGTTACCCATGCCTAGAGAGGACTATTCTAGTAGCGTTGGACCTGTCCCGTCAGCCACTCAACGCTACTAGAAGACATATAGGCCTCCTCTCTCCCACAGGGACTTAAACGGTGGTCGGTGAATTATCTGAGTGGTCGACATTCGTCAGTAATCTTTCGGGACAAAACTAGCAAACCGAGAAAAATTAAACAGGGGGGTACCACATGGTGGTGTCCTATCCCCGTTATTGTTTATTATATTTCAAAGCTCCAAAGGGAGTCACTGTAACTATTGTCTCTTATGCTGACGATTGCTTGATTATGGCGTCTGAAAATGGAACTAATGGCTTGTGCTCGAAAGTAAACGGTTATCTCGCCAAGCTTTCTCGTTTCTTCACTGCACGGAGCCCAACCCTCCCCCCTACAAAATCCTCAGTAACGCTTTTCACCACTTGGACGAAGGAGATCAGACTGACACTGGGTATTCACGTCGATGACGAACCAATTCCGACGGTGAATAACCCGAAGATCCTCGGAGTAACCTTCGACAGTCTGCTATACTTCTCGGCGCATACAGTTGGAATTGTCAACAAAGTACAAAGCCGCAACAAGGTCCTGATGTCGCTAGCCGGCAGCACCTGGTGCAAAGACAAAGAAACGTTGCTGGCAACGTACAAGGCAATTGGCCGGCCGGTTCTGAACTATGCAGCGCCTGTGTGGTCGTCGGGGACTAGTAGGGCGGAGTGTATGCCAACATGCCAAAGCAGGGCACCTAGAACAGCGACAGGATGCCTTCTGATGTCGCTGCAACATCACCTGTATGACGAGGCCCACATGCTCAAGATTAAGGAGCATAACACAACGCAATGCAAGCAATTCCTGGAAGAGTGTCAGCGTTGTGGGCACTCGAACAGATATTTGCTTACGGAAGAACCCTCGCAACGGCACGTCATAAGGCATCTATATGAACTAACGGATGAAGTCCAGAGGTCCAAAAACAACCTCTGGACCCGTCAGCTTACCGACAGGCCTTGAAAGGCATTCATAGAGAGTCAGTCGAGTTATATAGACTCTTGAACTGTGAATGCCGTTCTGGATACACAACCACCAGACGTTGACGAGACAGAGCGTCGTCTGCCTCAGGAGACTCGAACCACAGTAGCCCAATTTCGCTCTGGCTACTGCAGCAGGTTGAACTCATACCTGAGCAGAATGAACGCATTTGTGCCCAACGAACGCCCGGCAGGCGAAGAGATGCCCCATGATCTCTTCGCATGCCCACTGAACCCCACCCTGCTAACGCCTCTGGCCTTATGGACAGACCCCATCGAGGCTGCACGCTTCCTTGGTTTACCGGTAGTAGAGCTTGACGACAACGATTGAGGGACTAACCGGGGTTATTGTAGCCGCTACAACAACAATAACAACAACAATGCCCCTGTTGTCGAGTAGTCCAATTTAGCCTAATTTACGACATACGCAATGAGGCTGAAGCCGAACCTAAATAAAGACAGTTGTGGTTGTTGTTGTTACAACAACCCTGCCCAAATCAGTAAGTCCCTCAATCTTTGTCGTCAAGCTCAACTAACGGGAGACCCAATAAGCGTGCAGCTTCTCTAGGGTCTGTCCATAGGGACAGAGGCGTTAGTTGAGTGGGGTTTAATGGGTATGCGAAGAGATGTCTCGAGTAGTGGGGTGTCTCTCGGTGCGCCGGGCATGCGTTTGGCACATCTGCAGTCGTCCGTTCCAGGTGCCACACCTTGCAGCAGGGTTGGCCGGCAACTTGTTGAATCGCGCTGGCTGGTGGTCAAACCTCGGATCAATGACCTATTCTTGTTATGCACCGGAAAGCACAACAAGTACTCTATTTATCCCTCGCCCAGGGAATAGTGTCAAGTTCCCCAAAAGACTTCGGCTGAACTGTACCGGACTAGAGAATAAGATCTAGAAGAAAACTGGCTTTCTGGGTTAAAATGGAATTCTGATACCTGTAACTCTGTTGACTTGAGCCGTACATAACGTGATCTGTCCAGAAGCGCATACAAGAAATGGTGGAAGCTTAGCGTTGATGACTCCCCTTAAGGCTTATGGAAAGTTAAAGCAACTCACCTGATATAACAATTTTCCCTGATGAAGCCGCTGTACTCGCAAACAGGCGGTACCATCTACGACAGGCCGATCGCGGAAATGCCCGTATGAGTGATCTGATCGATCCACATAAGTAGGAGAATCGGAAAGAGCACTTGAAGACCGCAACTTCACTGCTCGAGTAAGTAAGCTTTGGTCAATCGTGAGATTTTTATACAACATAATGAGCATGGTGAAAATGATATTCTATGATGGTCCGAAGAAATACGTGAGTTATTTTAGCCGATAATTTGTATGTCAACTTTCGTAGTTAAGGCCAAGAGTCTAGTGATCAGAGAAGCTGCCGAAAACTAGTGCGCTTGTTACTTTCACCAACAGCGAAGTTCGGAGGGCTGTCGGGAAGGTAAAAGCCGTCGAAGCCTTGTCCACGACGGAATATGCATGCTGATGCTGAAAAAAAAATTCGGTCCGTTGGGAGTACACAACCTCACCGAGGTTCTCAACAAGCTACATGTAAGGTTTTGTTTTTGTTCTACTGTTCTACTGATTCTCCGTTGGATTTCAAGGCTGACATTATTATTGGTGTTAATGCTGGTTCCTAAATAAACGAGGAGATAATTTGTTTTGTCCTCATTCACCACCAGACCCACGCGCTTTGCTTATCTATCCAACTCCGAGAAACCAGAATAGACGTAGCCCTTGTTTTTTACCGATAATGTCGATTTCGTCGGCATACGCCAGCAATTGTACGCTCTTGTAAAGAATTGTGCTCGAACGGTTCAGTTCTGCGGACATATTATCTTCTCCGAAAACAGATTTAAGAAACCTGTCTGAAATCTCGTTTGGTTTCAAACAGCTCGCAGAGGTCCTTTCCAATTCTGATGAAGCTGTGGCTCTGCTCAACGTCCTTTTACACAGCCGTATTCGATTCGCGAGGATACGAAGTTCAGACATCACGGCATATATACAAATACGTCTCGCTTCCCTCTTCAATTTCCTATATCGGTCATATATCAGTCGGAGTGTACGTACGTATAAAAGATCATTGATTTGTTTACATGTTTTTCGATACAGAGACAGCCACGTAGCTTGAGTGATGTTCTTATAATGGAACCTAGTATTGTATGCTACCTTGCGTCGAGCCCGAGCATGGAGGCTGAATTTTCCGACGGTAGGACTACCAAGGATCTCTTTCTAGAAGGTAAATTCGCCAAGCATGATTTTCGTATCATAAGTCTTTGGTCGCCTGGCGAATTCGTGCTCCTTTCATTGGAGGCTGTAGTAGACATGGCAAGGTCCCATGTTCCATCTCATTTCTTAGATGATGGTGATATTATCAGCGTTATCTTCCTCGAGGACATCGACCTACCAAACGGGGACACCTTCACCCATTTAGGGCTAAGACCACCTATGTGCAAGCCCTCAAATCATAGCCCTTTATACCTTTGTCGTGGTCGTCATTAAAAAGGGGCCTCATCGAGGCTGAGTTCGACTTTCTACTGGTGTTTTCCATTTAACGCTGCAATAGTTTATCATATAACACTGCAATAGTCCCCAACGCATTAATGGCAAGAGAAAAATCCAATTGTATGTACGCTTGAGCTCTGT